TGCACACACACATGCATGCACCCCCACCCCCACACACAACTCTGATGTGACCTTTGGCCTCAGCGACATCATCTAAGGCTTAGCTAGATCAGTCTTTTCATCTAGTTTAATTACTAGGGGTACAGATCCTTTTTCCAATTTGTTTCTAGACCAAGATGCAACCACATTTTAAAAAAGAGCAGTTCAGACCGAGTTTTCTCCTGATCAGTTGCTATGATACAAAAGCTTCCAGAGAATCCTGGGAATTGGCTTAAGTCCAAGGACCCGGCTGCTTTTCAACACGGGGAGACCTCTGGAAGCCATCTTAGCATTAACTCTGCTGCTCATTTTAAACCATTTTCCTGCTTTAGGAAACAAAATGGTTGGAAGGAACTTGCAGTAACCCACTTTTCTTCCCTATTCCCTAGGAAAAGATACTTCAAAGCCTTTCAAACTGCTTTGTCTCTCTAGGTCCCTTTCAGATCTATTTCCTTGTTTGCCTCCTGAGGAATAAGAATGTATAGTCATCATCTTCTGCACAGAAATAGTCTACATGCTATTATTTTATCTTTTTTGATTTATACAAAATGCTGAAAATATGATTTGGTGTAACATTTAAATATGTATACGGTTTTCTTTTTATTATGTTTTTAACAATTATTTTATTTTCTGATTAGATTCTAAAATATACAGTGAATACATATGATTTTTAAGTTCTAAAAATTCAATGTACTGCACTGAAAAAAAGAATGTCCTATCAGAAGGAAACCCAAGTTATCCATTTATTTGTTGTGTAGCATTGGTTAAATCTTTCTGAACATGAATATAATCATCTGCGAAATGGAAAGATTACTACACTGGAGTGAGTGTGACAAAAAATAAATAAGATGAATTCTGACAAGGACCCCATATGGTGTCTGACAGTCATTAAAATAAAGTCCTTCCTCATTTAATAGACCTAAATATGATGAATCACTCACATAACCCCGCATTCTGCCTTAAGGCAAACTCACCTCAAGGTGGTGGCCAAGGCTCGGGACAGGAAGTGGCATATTGCTCCTCCTTGTCTTAACGTTTTATTATTCCCATCCTGTCTCCTGACTCCTTTCTGGAATCTTCCCCAATACCCCCAACTCTTTTACCTAGACTTTTCAAGCTGTGTCATTCCTCAAGAACTAAGTGAAGCCACCTCTCCTATGGGAGCTCTAACTCAGCTACCCCAGGCAGCCTGGGTCTCTCACTGGCCCAGCCTCCGACAGCAAGCACAGCCTGTATCACCTGGCCTGCCACCTAAGAATTTGCTTTCTTATGTTTTCCTGAAAGTATTCAGTGTGCATCCAACTGTTATCTTAAAATAAATTAAAAACTCCCAGGGAGAAGAAAACTATGCTATACATATCTTCTATATTCACTACTTAGTAATATACTGGGTACACAGTAGGTGCTTAGCTGCCATTATATATTCTGACAAGGACCTCACGTGGTGTCTGACAGCCATTAGAATAAAGTCTGGTTAGTAGGGTTAAAATTATATTTGAATACATGTATTTTTCAATACTAAAAAGGGATAAATTTGTTTATCCTTGTATAAATTCAGTTTTCTTCTCCTTAGTACATTGCTAATTTATATGTAATTACAGATTAAATAAATTTCACTTTAAAAGCAAACTCCTAGTGCTAGGCCATTTGATCCAGGGCAGGGAAGGGAGAGGAACAGTCATTGAACTTTGGAAAGCGAATTACTGAGCACTATCTATAGACACGCATCCTCTGAGCTCCTGGGCACTTTCCAACACCTGGGTTCCCTGAGGATTTACTCATAAATAAAGTGCTATTTGAATGCTTTAAAATGTGAGGTTCATCCATTTCAAGACATAATCCCATCAGAATGAAGGATAAAATGGTGGAAGTCTAAATTATTTTAAGTGACTCAGGACACTTGAGTTTGAGTTCTGTGATTGCCATTGGTTTTCTATAGAGGCTTAGATAAATCACTGAACAAACTCTTTGTCCACAGATTTTTTTTTCCATTTGAAATAAAAATAGTAATACTCACCGTGCATGTCTGCAATTGATTTCATTAAGACTCAAACTAGATAAAAAATGTAAACACACTTTGGAAAAACATAGCATTGAACAGATGTATGGTAGTATGATTGTGTTTTGGTTGGAAACAGAATTATGCCTTTGAAAATAAGTTCTAGCTGTTAAAAACACGCCATATTTAAGGCTGTATGCATATTGCCAAACATCAGAAACAAACTATCCAGATGTTTGATCTATCAACATAACAACCATCTGGAGGTTTCTAAAAAGCAGTATTTAAGCTTTTATCATAGCAATTTTTTTTTCTGGATAGTTCTATGACCTCTGGTAAATTCAGTGGGCAACATTGCATTTAAATGGGTTATTTGGTCATATGATGATTACAGACAGCCTTTACAAACTGCCTAAATCTCTAAGCCATTTTTCTGAAGATGCATCTCTTTTCATGACAAATGAGGAATCATTTAGAAATCGAAAACTGTGTAATAGAACATTTTAACAAGGCAAGGAGATGCTGAAGCCCATTGGAGTTAAGTGCCCCCCCTTCCCCACAATATACACCAGGTATTGGAGCTTGGATGCTATTAAGTAAAATTATAAAGGACTCTCCCTACTACACACCCATCCCATATAGCTATACAGTCTCAAGCAACCGAGGAAGAATATTCTTTTTAGGTGGTAAAGAATGAGAGTCCTGGCTTCTTCCCTTTGAGGTTTACAGATACAAGTCCATGTTGGAATGACTGGAGTAGCCCTGATCAAGGCAAATTTCAGAAAAATACGGGGACTCTTTTAAAGGGAAGAGGAAAGGGCCAGACTATGAACTTGGACTTACTCAGTAGCTGAGAAGAAAGTGGAGAAGAGATGGTAATCTTTCCAGGCTAATAGAATCCATTGTGCCCTGTGACCTGGCCATTCTGATAATACTGATATGCCTTGGACAGAATTGGACAAAATTGCTGCACGGATATGACTTTAACATTTTATGTTTAAAAATATGGTAGGTGGTTAATTTTTAACAAATGGCTTTCTGGGAAAGAAATGCATGTGTGCACATGTGTACATATGTTTGTAATAAATTTTACTGATACAAAGAATTTGCAGCATATATTTCTTAAATAATAGAACATGTAATATTATATATTACAAATTCCATATATCCATTCAGTTCTCACGGGCTGCTTTCACTGGCTTCTGCTGATCACTCATGTCTGTAGCCGAATTACAGTTGCAGGTGATGAGGAATGTACTTCTGATATGAATGTTCGCTTATACCTTTTTTACACAATGAGTGAAACTGAAACAACAAAGATGTATTTTGGAATTTCATTCACTTGTCAAAGATGTCAGGGGCTTCTTTGTTGAATTGGATAATAGTTTTCGACTACTGAAAGAACAGTTTCTCACTTTGTGGTGCTACTCACATTGTAACTGCTATAAAGACTCATTTAAGTTTAATCAGCATCATAAATATTTTCCCCATGGTTTCCTTATGTGTAAACAAAACAAAAATTGATTTATAACATTTTCTTAATAAAATTCTCCCACCAGGGTCCATTTCAAGCTACCCATGTGACATCACTGAGCACCCAGTAGTGATGTACAGTGGCACGTGATTACAGGGTGTTTCCCTGACATGGTTATGGCAGGCCCAGGTACCAGGGAGCGTAGGTTAGTAAGACACAGTAGAATAGGAGGTGGTAAGTTTCCTGTATTTCTTTTGCTTTTGTGATGGTTAATTCTATGTGTCAAGTTGACCGCACCATGGGGTGCCCAGCTTGAACATGACTTCCGGGTCTGTCTGGGGGTGGTTGAGGATGAGGTCAGCATTCAAACTAGCAGACTCAGTAAAGCAGGTCACTCTCTCCAGCGTGGGTGGGCCTCAACCAAGCAGTTGAAGGCCTGAGTAGAATAAAAAGCAGAGGAAAGAGTTCACCCCTTTTTTTTTCTTTTTGTCTGCCTGCTTGACAGGGACATCTCACCAGATCTTCTCTCGCCTTTGGACTGAATTACACCACCAGCTCTCTTGGGTCTCCATCTTGCAGATGGTAGCTGCCGGGACTTCTCACCTTTATAATCCTGTGAGGCAATCTCTCATAATGAATCTCAATTTCTTTCTTTCTCTGTTATACATACGCACATCACACACACACACACACACACACTTTTATATTTGCATATGCATATGTTGTGTTTTCCTGGAGAACTCTAATATAGGTTTTAATACAACATATTTAATTATAAATTTATATAGGTTAGCTTTTAGTAATGACTGTGTCTCACAACCAGCTCATAATACTACTGAAAATTTAATAGTTGGCCCTCACAAGCCAGCACTAGCTCTCTCCAGCGTGCCGTGGGCTTTAATCCTTGTTGCTCAGGCAGTTTTACCAAAAGAAGCCTCTACCTGAGAATGAAATAGGGAAAATATGCCCAAAGAAAGATTTTTTCCCTTGGAGGAATTGACTGGAAATTTGTATCAGTCCAAAGGACAGGGAGATACTGACAGTCGTGCCCTGGGCTTGTAGCATGGCATCAGTGACAGCTGGCATGCAGCTCCATCTGTGACACCGGCAGGGCCAAGCCGCCAACAACAGGCAGTGAAGGGGGGACAGCGAACATCAGAAGGCAGGGCTTCCAGGAAGGCTGCTCATGTCAAAGCCCCATCTGTATCCTAGCACAGGCATCATGGAAGTGTGAAAAAAATTTTTTGAGTGGTTGTTAAAAGTATTTGGAGAAAGAAACCTCAGGAGAAAGTCTAATCTTAAGTGGCTGGCCTCAAGTCATGTCATTTTGGGCATTAATAGATGATGCCACCTTTTTCTCACCTCTTTTATATAGTATGCCTGGGAAACTGTGGCAATACTGTCAGAAGACCTGAGGGAATATTGCCCAACTAGGTCAGGTTTTAACACCTAACATAAAACCATAGCAAAGCTTGGAAATATCAATTTTTGAGAATGACCACACAGAACGACCCCAAAAAGTTGTGTCTTTATTCACTGACATTAAGGTTCATTAAATCAATGGATAAATGAAGCATTTTTCTTGGTGACTAAACTAAAATGTAAGCAATGCAGACTTCTCATAAGTAACCTTATATGTGATGGTATAATGACAAGTGTGTATATTTAATTAATTTTGATATGATATAGAAAAATGTCTCATCTCTATGACCCAGGTGGGATCCTGAAGAGTAATAAATGACCTATGAATTCTACTCTCCTTCCTTCCTTCCAAAGGCTCATTAAGTGGTCTTATTTCATGGGCTATAGGGGTAGAATTAAAGGGGGTTAAATTACAGGTTACTCATAAATTTATAATTCTGAATAGAGCCTGAATAGTTCAGTGCTGCATTTTGAGGTGTTTTGATCAAAGGCTAATTTCTTTTGTTCTTCAAAGTGCAGAGCTAAGCAATCCTTAAAAATACACTAAAGATCAGGTCTTAGAAAACAGGCAGCTTCTCCAAGTACATCTATTTACCCATTGGTTAGACTGGTAAAAATACAGGAAGTATAATGACAAGTGAAAAGCAAAATATATTTAAGTACAACCATGAAAATACACAAGTTTCCTGGCATATTTAGATTTCTTGATTCTTGGCCTGGCAAGTAGCATTTCAATGAAGTAGATGTTCAGATTCATTGTCTGATTAAAAGAAAAAAAATTTGGAAGGAATGTTGACTATCAATTACATATACTATATAATAATGATAATGAATATTTACAGAATTTAAATAATACTAACAACCCTACAGACAGACAATATCACAAGCTCCATTTTATAGGTGAGAAAACCAATTAAACACTTAAACAACATGGCTTCAAGTCCCACAGCTAGTTTGGGGCAGAACTGAGAAAAGGAATTGAAGTTTCCTGAGACCAAGTCCAGTTTTCTTTCCATGATACTGAATAACCAGTCTTACCCAGTAATGGGACAACTCAGAGTAGCTGGGCTCCCTAGCCCAACTCATGTAGGATTGTATAAAACACAAAATAGATATGGCTCATGGAGACACTTTAAAAGAAATATAATTGTCAAATATTGTGATGTGTTCTTAACTGTTGATTTTCTAACTATCTTACATAATTACAACTATCAGGTCTTAACCAATTTGCTCATCAATAAAGGTGTTTTAGAATCAGCTTTTCTTTCCCTCCTCTTATTTTGTATTAAGCTCATCACTACCTAAGAAATTTGTACCATTTTCTGCACAGATGTCAATGATCTTCATCTCGCAGATGCCAAAGCAACTACATTTTTCACGAGTATATTAGTACCCACATAACCCTGAATTACTTATGTACATGGTGGCTTTTATATCTTTTCTGAAATCAAGTCATTTTAAAAATGTAAAATAAGTTGCGTCTTAGTGTATTGTACATTTGAGTGGTACATCTTTATCAAAGCCGAAATAAAAGTGAGAAAATATTTGGAGACAAAGAAAGAATAAAAAGGTCTTACATGGTATGGTTCAGAGTGTCTTCTCCACAATCGGTTTCAGATTTTAATTTACAGGTAGTGGCATCACAGCAAGGGTTGGTACATTTCTTTAAAACACATACAGAGGGAAAGTGGTTGAGTATTTTATTTTTTTATAGACTAGGTGCATTGACTTCTGGTACAAGATGACAAAGAAATGTCACTTTTTAAACTATATTACTCTGCTATACCTATTTAGTGGACATGATCAGGAAATTTAATAATAGAAAAAAATGTTATCAGTAAGGAAAACTACCTCTTTAAAGAACAAAAGTAGATTTATCCAAGAATTACCCCAAAATAAATTTGGTTGAGATGGTACTATATGTAAATTAAGTTAAAACTTCAAGGGAGAATATTCTATACCATTCAAACTGTTTGAAGATGGTGAAAAAAATTGAATATCCCCAATTTACTTTACCAACCCTGCATGATTCTGGTAATGAGAACTGGTAATGAATACACACACACACACAATTTTAATTTATGTATGTACATGCTATTTTAGTTATATTTTGTTCAATATTTTGCATAAAAAACAATGAAAAGGCTTGCCATTAAAGATGTTAAAATGCCATTAAGATATTAAAGATTCTAAAAAATGAACATACACGCAATGAAATACTATTCAGCCATAAAAAAGAAGAAATCCTGTTATTTGCAACAACATGGATGGATCTAGAGGGTATTATTCTCAGTGAAATAAGCCAGGAGGAGAAAGACAAACACCAAATGATTTCACTTATTTGTGGGCTATAAAACAAAGCAAAACAAATGGAGGAACAAAGCAGGTTTAGACTTATGGACACTGAGAAGTGTCTGGTCGTTACCAAGCAGGAAGGGTTGGGGCAGGTGCAGGGTGGAGGGGAATAAAAGGGCACAATAATTCACAATCACAATATGAGCTGATCACAGGGACTGTTGAGCAGGGGCTGTGATGTACATTTGAAACCAACATAAGATTGTATATTAGCAATAACTTTAATAAAAATAAATAAAAATTTTAAAAGGTATAGTTATACATCTGTGCATTATCTAAGCAGTTAAATAGAATATTACTTTTTAAATCTAAAAGACCTAAATACATACATAAAAATAATAAAACAGGATATTGGATCATGGAAAACTAGATTATTCACTAAAGGATACTATATAAAGTATATATGCTACATTTTGGATAAGAAAACAGTTATTTTAAAAATTTCAGTTGTTCATTAACTTGAACTGTCTTGTTTTATTTAACTACATAAGAAGAAAATTAAGATACAGAAAAATATAGGAGCTGGCTGCCATAAAGAATATCAAATCTTACACATTATATATAGTACTCTTTCTCTCTCTTTTGTCAGTGTGCACTGAACACATGCCATTTGCCTGTTGAAATCAGAACTTAGGGTTTATGAACCACTTCAATTGTCTTCTACCCAAGAAACCAGATGGGAATGTAAACCACCTTAAGAATGAGATAAACTTAACTCTAATGTATTATAAGGTATCAAATCATTTGTAAAATTCCATACCTCATTATAATTAACAGAGTATTATGGTATTTGTTACAAATGATTAGTTATAGCATATTAGTTCATCTTTAATAGAATTCAGCAGCTTAACATTTCTGAATAAATAAACTGAAGCATACAGAGATTATATGCTTTCCCTTTAAAATAATGGATGAATCTTGGGTCATAACCAGCCTTACCAGTTACTAGCTTTGAATCCTTGGAACTAGTTGCTTAACTTTTCTGAGTCTCACTTCTCTAAATTGAGATAATAAAAACACCTATCTTGCAGGTTTGTTGACAGTAATAAAGGGGATAGTGTATACAAAAACTTTGCAGATTGATACATGAAAATTTCTTAAATATTTTTTTAGTCTTAAAAGAAAAAAAAGGGTTACTAAGAAAAGAGCACTCTGAGATATCTATCATAGCGTCACTAGTGAACATTCTAGCAGAGTGCATTGATATTTAGGGTACTCTGATGCCTTGAAGGGGCCAGATTTTTATAAAGATGAGCAGAATTATAATAATTATCTTAGATGTTCTATGTCAATAACCCATTTTCTATGGGATTACATTTTTTTTCTTTTTTCCTTCTCTGTTTTATTTACTACCTAGTTTAAACACTGGCTTAAAGAGAGAAGGCCAACTCACTATGGAGAGAACTTCTAGATCTCTAATTGTTACTGCTCCACAAATGATCAGCTGTGCCTTTATATCGCTTAGGGACTTCTAACACATGTAGGAACGATCATAAGTGATACGTTAGTTAATGGTTTACTTCCTTACATTGAACCTTATATAATCATGTCATAAGCATATCCTCGTTTCTGAAATGCCTTTCAAATAATGATTAAGATCAGTCCTAACAATAGAAGTGCAAGTCTACTTTTTACTACAATGCCAAGTTTGTCTGTGGAAAGAACTTACGAAAGAACCTCTTTTTAAAAAAGGAAAAAGAAAACAGCAATTCTTATGCCACAATAACTCTCTAATAAATGTTTTAAACTATAGATATTTTTATACCTTAGGGGAGCCGCAATCACAGTCTTCTCCTACTTCCAGAAGTTGGTTCCCACACACTGGTTTTGTTATTATATTTTTAGGAATCGGTGCTTGCAGTAGGCACTTTGGTTTTTGAGATAAAATATATTTTTCAAAATGTAAGCGGCAAGATACACTGAAATCCTTTGGAAATCTTGAACTGTAACCAGAAAGAAAACCAGAAATACCATGACATATAATGACAAATGATCATGAGCATCTGACTTGTCTAACTATATTGCCTGGTTTGGTGGAAATTCCAAAATTAGGAATATCTTGTTAGAGACTACACTGTTTTATATGTGGAGAGCAATGGAACATGCAT